TGACCGCTTTTTAGTTTTTTTAACTAGACACGTGTTTTTCAGTGACAGTGGTGAGACTCCGTGGCTTGCGATCGTCGAGGTTAAGCAGACCTGAGTACAGAGTTAGTACTTGGTGACTGCGCTTCGACTCTCGCTATAGCCCGGTGTTTTCTTACTACTTTCGTAATACATCAAGTGGGAGGTTTAACGTCGAGGTATAGTGATGTGCACTGTCGATTATTGTCCAGTACACACCATCAGAACTCGGCTTTTGATAAACCGGTTGTACTAAGGAGAGATTTTCTACAGTTTCTCTCTCCTCTGACGAGAAAACCCATTAGACGGGTGGTCCTGGCAAATGCGAGTACAATTAATTTCAAGTCGTTCTATAGACGCAAAATTTAGTACTATAAACTGGGGCTATTAGGAACAAAACTCTGTTTTCAGGTGGAGTTGTTGCTATCGGCGCCGTTTTTTCGATAAATTGTGTTACTTGCTTTTGGAAAATTGTTGATGCAGTAACTGTCAATACTATTCAATGCAATAATTATGACTATTAATTATTGTGTAAACAGTTGTAGCTTGTAAGTAACTGAATGTGTTTTAGTGAAGTTTCAAACGTGGACAACATATAATTGCCAAGGTAAGTTGTTCCTATTTTAACTTCTCAAAGTTATTGATTTCACAGCCCCACAAAAAAAAGTGTCGTGCGCGGCAGACAAGACTAGTCATTTCCTATGTATTTTGACGCGCTAAACACGAATCCGAAGTCCGTTTTGCTCCATCACGTCAGGATTTTTTTCTAACCTCAAAAAGTCTGTCGGATTTTGAGAGGTAGGCTATTTTTTCTTATATTAATGGATTTACTTTAAACTTGGTAACTAGGGGTTTTTTGGGGTAGCTGATGACAAATTTGAAGTTAGATTTTCAAAATTCAAAATGGCGGCTCCAATATGGCGGACGAATTTTTTAAAAGTTAATGGATTTACTTCAAACTTGGTAACTAGGGGTTTTTTGGGTCGCTGATGACGAATTTAAAGTTAGATTTTCAAAATTCAAAATGGCGGATCCAATGTGGCGGACGAATTTTTTAAAAATTGATAGATTTGCTTCAAACTTGGTATCTAGAGGTTTTTTGGGTTCGCTGATTACGAATTTGAAGTTAGATTTTCAAAATTTAAAATGTTGGCTCCAATATGGGGGACGAATTTTTTAACTATTGATGGATTTACTTCGAAGTTGGTATCTAGGGGTTTTTTGGGTCACTGATTACGAATCTATAGTCAGACTTTCACATTTTGAACCCCCTGCACGGAAAAAATGTACGTGCACCGCTTGTCTCACTTCCAGTGCAGTTGATGCAGAGGTTGTCCGATGGAAGTGCGTTTGCTGTCTCTAAAAAGGGCCGTATATGATCCCTTTTCAAAGTGTAAGATTTGTACTGCAATTAAGGACCATTGATGCACATATAGAGATAAACGGTGAACAGAAATTTTTTCCGTGTGGCTGCTCCGAAAGATTTTTTGGTAGAGTGTTGTGTAGCGGGAACTGTAATTTTTTGTTTTGTAATAAACTACTCTCAAGAACTGACAGTTGGGTCTCATTGCTTCATAGAGATCAATTCGGCAAATGCACAAAACTTTTTTCATTGAGGTAATAATGTGACAATAAGATGTAAAAGATAAATAATAAATTTTTAAGCAACGAGATAAAAAGGAACTTTAATATCCTCTATCCTTCACTATCTTATTCCTTAAAAATACATTGTTTACCTTGTACGCTTTGCACTTTTATTGTGTTTCAGCACAATACTAATCCTGCTGCTTCGATAAATGTAGTAGGCGATGACAACTGCCCCGAAAGGGGATGTGTAGAATGATTCGCTTCCTGTTTATCGAAGTAACGAAGCCAGCGTAGGCGCGCTGTCCTGTAGGGAGACGTTAGGGTGTGAGGATGATGCCGTAGTGTGTCCGACGACGAGTTGACTTTGTCCTCGTCAAAGTCGGAAAGCTCTTATACTTAGACCTGGGGAGGTATGAGGGTTATCACCCCTAGGACGGCGGACTCACCTGCGATCGGGCCAGGATCCCTAACGTGCAGATTTTCACATAAATCATGGCTTCTCAAAATCAAAACAATAATAAAACTCTAAAGGCTTCAAAACTTAATTTTGCAGTAACAACGTCGGAACACTTATGCGACAGCAATGCAGATGCATTTTGTTACATATGTGGACAATTTGATGTCCCCAAAAATCGTAAATCAATAAATGAAAATATCAAACAGATCTACAAAGATTATTTTGATCTTGAGATAACCAATCAGGATAAAAATTTTGTTCCACACAAAATTTGCAGTTCCTGTTACACAATGTTAACTCGTTGGAATCATAAAAAAGAGGATAAACTAAAGTTTATAAAGCCAACTTTGTGGGAAAAACCATTAAATCAAAAAGATTGTTATTTTTGCAACACCAATGTGCAAGGATATAATAACAAAAATAAAAAGTACATATTGTATGTTAATGTCCCCACTGTAAAAAAACCAGAAATTTCATGCAATCCATCTTCTTCTCCCAAAACCTTGGAAATTGACAGTTCAACTGAAGATGTTCTAGATTTTGAAAATAAAGACATGAGAACCGATGATCAGGACGACTATTACTTTCCGTATGATGAACAGGAGATAAAGATTCGACAAACGTTTAACCAAGAAGAACTTAGCAATCTCATTAGAGATTTAAAATTGCCGAAGGATTGTGCAGAACACCTAGCATCAGTGTTAAAGAAGAAAAACTTGTTATCAAAAGGCACAACAGCTAGCTTTTATCGAGACAGAGAAAAAGAATTCCGACAATATTTTACAAAAGATGAAAATCCGTCGTTGGTATATTGCTCAGATGTTGTCGGACTCATGAATAAATTAAAAACAAATATATACAAAGATGAAAATTGGATACTATTTATTAATTCTTCGAAAAGAAGTTTAAAAGTAGTACTACTACATAATACTAATATTTATGCTCCAATTCCAATAGCGCATTCAACGGAAATGAAAGAAAACTATGAATATATGAAACTAGTTTTGGATAAAATTAGATACCGAGAACACAACTGGCAAATTTGTGGAGATTTTAAGATTTTAAGCATACTACTTGGACAACAATCAGGTTTTACAAAAACACCATGTTTCCTGTGTTTGTGGGACAGTAGAGATCGAGCAAATCACTACATTAAAAAACAATGGCCAAAAAGAAATTCTTTCGAACCAGGTTCAAAAAATATAATAGAAAATCCCCTAATCGACCCTTCAAAGGTGATGATTCCATCCTTACACACGAAACTAGGAGGAATAAAACAATTTGTCAAAGCCTTAGATAAAGAAGAAAACTGTTTTAAATACTTGGAACAAAAGTTTCCAGAAAAATCTGATGCGAAACTAAAAGAAGGGGTTTTTTACGGACCACAAATTCGCAAATTGTTAAAAGATGAGCAATTTATCACCAAGATGAATAAAAAGGAGAAAGCCGCATGGCTTAGTTTCAAAGCAGTTGTCGAAAATTTTCTGGGTAATCACAAGAGTGAAAATTGGGAGCAAATAGTTAGTGATATGATTAAAAATTTTGGTAAGTTAGGATGCTTAATGAGCATAAAGATGCATTACTTAGACTCGCATCGGGATCGATTCCCTGAAAATTTGGGAGATTACAGTGAAGAACAAGGAGAACGATTCCATCAAGATCTTAAAGAATTTGAGCGTCGTTATCAAGGAAGATGGGATGTAAATATGATGTCCGACTACTGTTGGATGCTGAAAAGAGATATTGTACCTGGAGGCACCAATTTGAAACGAAAACCATTACACAGATCCTTTGAGGACAAAAGAGTGCGCTACCATAAAAGGACGTGAATACCTTACTTATGTATATAAGAATTTCCATTTCGAGTTTTGAAAATCTAACTTCAGATGCGTAATCAGCGACCCAAAAAACCCCTAGTTACCAAGTTTGAAGTAAATCCATTAACTTTTAAAAAATTCGTCCGCCATATTGGATCCGCCATTTTGAATTTTGAAAATCTAACTTTAAATTCGTCATCAGCGACCCAAAAAACCCCTAGTTACCAAGTTTGAAGTAAATCCATTAACTTTTAAAAAATTCGTCCGCCATATTGGAGCCGCCATTTTGAATTTTGAAAATCTAACTTCAAATTTGTCATCAGCGACCCAAAAAACCCCTAGTTACCAAGTTTGAAGTAAATCCATTAATTTAAGAAAAAATAGCCTACCTCTCAAAATCCGACAGATTTTTTGAGGTTAGAAAAAAATCCTGACGTGATGGAGCAAAACGGACTTCGGATTCGTGTTCAGCGCGTCAAAATACATAGGAAATGACTAGTCTGGTCTGCCGCGCACGACTCTTTTTTTTGTGGGGTTGTGTTTTTATTAAAGGAATTTCTTATGGGAAACTTTATTGAGTTTACTAAGTAATAAATATGTTTATTTTGTATTTAAAGTAAGATTTATGAGACAAAAACCAAATTCACAAACGGCGCGGCTATAAGGAACACAATTCTTTTTTCCGAATTGTTGAAGTGTCTTGTCAAAACGTAAGTTTTTCTTAACTTCTTTTGTTTTTTATCACCTAATTTGGTTTTTAGTGTTCATAGATTGTTCGAAATTGTAAAAGAGTCTTGGTACCGACAAGTCGCAAAAAACGACCAGTGACTTCATCATCGACCTCAACTGATGATACCAGAAACGTTTAAAACACACATTCGCTCTTTTATTTTCGTTTTAAAATTTGTTTTAAATTGTGTGTGTACTTTCGAGCAATAAACAATAACTTCTTAAACATTAAATACGTTTTTCAATGGTTTTAACCGCCTTGTTCCTAATAGTCCCATTTTGTAATTTCGAAAAAATACGTCTTTTTTTCTTAAAATTCCAGCTTTGATCAAAACAATTCTTTAACCCTTCAATATGCTCGCCAAGCAAATAAAATATAAAAATAATATCAACAGGTTAATGTGAGTCCGGCTCTCAGTAACGATTGTGAAGTGGATTTAGATGTAAAGAAACCTCTTCTTCATGATTTATTCGATCTACTGGGACTTCCCGTTCGTAATACTGGTTTGTCTCTTTTTACAATGTGGACATCTGCAAAAAACATGGAGGATAATGATGATTCAACAGGATTTGTTCATGGCCGTTACTCAAAAGGAGAAAATAGTTTGGGTAGCGAAACTCTAGCTCTTGTTGACGTTTGTTCAAACACTCGACATTTGGTAATATTTTCTTATATGTTTTAGTATTTATTATGGAAGTGGGATAAACCCCGCCCGAGTTTTAGACGCTATTAAACTGTTTTGTTGATTAATTAACTGTAGATATACAAATTATTTACATTTTTTTAATTGTAAATTAATGGAAAAATCATACTTTCACATAATATAAAAGTTTAAGTAAACACTTTTTTATTCTTAAATAAAAAGTAAATCAGTCAGAATTCCGGAAAAGAGCCACCCAAAATCTTTTAATTTTCTTTTTCGATGTAATGTGGTTATTTTAATAGTATTTAATATAAGAAATACCTAGGTAGAAAAATGGCCCAGTTAAACTGGCTTCTTTTCAGTATCTATCAAGTTGAGATCGAGTTTTTCTTAAGGGGGTCACCCCGTGTGATGGGTTCAAAAAATCGAAATTTTTTTTTTCTATAAATCACATCTACAACATGTGTAGAATATGTGGATAAAGAGGATTTTTGATATTTGACATCCTAAGAAAGTTACAGAACTGAAAAGACAAGGAGTTGCAAAGCGAACAATGTATTACTTAAACTTTGATAGGCGTTTTTCTCAAAACTGTGTTTTTCAAACTGGCATCCATGATATCTCAACAACGGCTTGACCAATATCGCACAAATTTATGGGGCGTGTTCAGAACATATATGAGGCATTTTACGGGAAATGTCCTAAGCTGAAATTTCAACTTCTTGAAAAAATTGAAACTCGAGAAATTTGTTGTTCTATCGAGTAGAAATGTGACACAATAAATATTTTTGACTTTTTCGAAAAATTGGAGCGGGTAGAGGGGGGTCAATTTGACCAATTTTGCCAACATCGGCTACTTTGTGAATTTTTTCTGAACATACTTGTAATGGGAAAAATTTTTTAGAATATGTTTCTGAAAGGTTTTTTCGTCCTCTTTCCAATGGTGTATTTTATATTTTAAAAATTTACCCTACTTTTTGATAATTTATATTTAATTTTCAATTTCCCAAAAATCGGTCCGTTTTTTTTAAATAAATTATTGCAAACGAAAGCTGAGGTTTTTCCTATCGGCATGTAAATTTTTAGAATGCCTTTTTTTGTTTTTTAATTATTAAATTTCAAAGAATAAATTGCATTGCGCTGCGTCGCGGTTGCACAAAGCCGCGTGGCAACCGGCGTGAGACGAGGCGCGCAGGACGTAATTTATTCTTTGAAATTTAATAACTCAAAAACAAAAAAAGTGCTTTCTGAAAATTTACATGACGATAGGAAAAAACCTCAGCTTTCGTTTGCAATAATTTATTTAAAAAAAAAACGGACCGATTTTTGGGAAATTGAAAATTAAATATTAATTATCAAAAATTTGGGTCATTTTTTAAAATATTAGAAAATAAAATTCACCATTGGAAAGAGGATGAAAAAAGCTTTCAGAAACATATTCTAAAAAATTTTTCCCATTACAAGTATGTTCAGAAAAAATTCACAAAGTAGCCGATGTTGGCAAAATTGACCAAATTGACCCCCCTCTACCCCCTCCAATTTTTCGAAAAAATCAAAAATATTTATTGGGTCACATTTCTTCTTGATAGAACAACAAAATCCTCGAGTTTCAATTTTTTTCAAGAAGTTGAAATTTCAACTTAGGACATTTCACGTAAAATGCCTCATATGGCTATCGCCCGAACTAGGATAATTGAAAAAGGTCAAGTTGTTTCTTTTCTATACAACAAAAAAGACCAAAAAAATCACATTTAAAAAAAAAAATTTCAAAGTCGCGTAAAAAATTCAATTTTTAATATTTTCAAATAATTATAGTTCCGGCTATAGCCAAATCCTCACAGATTAAAATGTCTTTTGATTTTTTGATTTTAGTTCAGTTAATTAGTAATTATCGTGGACGCCGATAGAAGGCGTTTTTATGATCATCAACACTTTCCAGTTTTATAATTCCGAATCATTAAAATATTTTTACTTGCAAAAATTTTAATTTGTTGTAAAAATGTAACTGAATATTAGGGTGTCCGTTATTTCCCAAGTTAGCTATTTTCATTTGGGTATCGTCAAAATCGTTTCTTTTTTACTTAAAAGCAATTTTAGAAACTAGAAAAAAATTTTACAATGCCGTTTAACCCTGACTAAATAACAATACTTTTACCATTTAATTAGCATGGGATTTTTGCACTTTTTAGAAAATAATTTTTATTTTGTTTATAATACTCTTTGACCGAGTTTTCGCTCGAGCTGTCGACAAGTACGGTCACGTTTTTGTGTGCTCTTTGAATTTGAAATTGAATGCTATTCTGATTCTAGTTTTAACGTGGTTTATTTTGATTATTGGTGTTTTTTTATCCCGGTCCTTAAAGATCAAGTGGTCTAGAGGCTAAACTTTTTTTTTAATTGTGTAACTTTTGAAGAAAGTGACGGATGAGTCGTTCTTTCTTTTTATTTTGTGGTGCTGTTTTGTCCTTTCTGCAACTTATATTATATGTGACAGTTGGTGGTGAAGTGCCTATTGCCGCATTATATGACAGTGTTCTTTTGTTGCATATAGTTGCAGTGACTGTTCCACTGTTTATTGGATTACCAGTTTTTCAATTTTTATTTGTGAAAATTTTTTTTCGCCTTCCTTACTGTTTCAAATTTTGATTCTATTGTCTTCTATCATGTCGTCAGCCAAGAACGAGGAGAGATGGAATCATTTGTTTTCGTTAATCAATAACCTATCGACATCTCACTTAGAAGTGAAAAAGAATATTCAAAGTATTAATGACAAACTAGAGAATATAAATACTAAGCAATCTGACAATGAAGCGAGGTTGTCTACTTTAGAGCATAGTATTTCTCGTATAGTTGATTCTCAACGTTCGAATAATATTATTCTCTTCAATTTGGAGGATTCCGATGCAATAAATGCAAATTTTTTTCAAACAATTTCTTAGCTTTTTAAAAACACGGGCATTAACATTCCAGATTTGGTTATTTCTGATGTATTTCGACTTGGTAAGGTTAAAGGTAATCGTCCAATTCTCATTAAATTCGTTGCTGTTGTGACGTGAATAATTTGGCACGTCACATCCGATATAGAAAAATATAGAAGTAAATAAAATAACCTTCCTTTCGGACACTTCGTTGCGCAAGTCTCAGCTCCACAATTCGATCTTGTAAAATTATAAGGTTTATTTTGCGTTTTGTTTACTGCTTTTATTTTTTTATGTTGCGACGAGCGATTCTTGGATTCTATGTTACTTCGAGATGAGGAGGAACTGTTTTTCAAATTGGGATGTCTCTGGGATAAATCATTCTCTACACTTTGCTGTTCGATGCTTAATTTTGAGCTGAAGATGCCATTCCACTCACACTCTCGGCTGATGACGCTACATGATATTTGTTTTGTGGCCTGCTGACCTGGCTTGCTTGTTTTTAAATATTGGAGACCCGCTGTCGTCCAATTTTTACTTATTTGGCTGTCGCTGACACCAAGTCTATTTTCTGGCTGTTTGGATGCCGCTATATTTTTGGTTTCTGGGACCAATCACGCTATTTTGTTGCATGTCACGCACACACACTCACACACATGGTTGCCAGACGTCACCCCTTTTGGTTGTCATCACCAGTTGCCGCAGGAATTCCAATTGGATTCCAATTGAGTTGTCGATTTTGTATTAATCGACATATTTTGCCGTCGAACGCCTCGAAATTTATTAGGCGATATCGCTTTTGCCGCCAACCTATTTGGAATACGATACCCAAGGAGAAAACTACAGTTCCGTCGTTAAAGAAGAGTTCCAGTTCCCACATTTGTAAATCGCTAGATTTTACGTTTTTTTGTATAACTTACTTTGATTATCTTCGGAATAGAGTCGATTTAATTTAAAATATCAAAGTTATTTTCGTTTAGCAGAATTCACATAATTTTGATAAAATAGTATTTTACTATTAAAGATTTTTTTGCGCAAACTAATTAATTGCTTTAAAGTTATTTTCAATTAACAAGGTTAATTGTTTCGCGACTTTGAATTATTAATATTCAACTATCGAAAATTCACCGATTTTGAATTTGAAAACATTTGCCGCCGCAGCGCCCTCGCTAACTATCTGCGCGCGCGAGCACCGTCAAGCTTAGGTTAGCTTTCTTTCCCGACGCTACCGGCAAATTTCCAAAAAACGTGCTCGACACTTGCGTTGCGAATCCTGAAGTGACACCACAAATATTGTTCTCGACTTCAACTTCAGAGAAAAGTGTCGAAAAGAAGGCGATTCTAGGCGATTCTTGCTGGCATCTCCAAGGTAGTTTTCCTTCAATAACTGGTGAGTCGGCAATATTGTTATCCGCGAGAATGCATAATCTCCTTTATTAAATTTTAATTTGCTAATTTCACTCTAAACTGTGGAGATTATGAGTTCTCGTTACTGTTCGAAATGACCCCTTGTTACATTTTTCGATCTTATGTTACTTGCGGTTCTATTTTTTTGAAAATATTTTGTTAACTTTCGTTTATTTTGCTCAAAGTTAAGGCGTTCATTTCCGAATCGAAATTTTTATATTGTGTGCTTATTTGCCGAAGTGTAGTATATGTCAAGCGCCATGTGCTCTGCCCGTGAATTTTCCCTTTGCGTTTCGCTACCTTGTGTTTTGTCGCCAATTTCCGAAAGCCATTTTCTTCTTTTTTAATTTGTTAAAGTAGACAGATTCGCGTTCTTTAATTTTAGATTAAAAATGATTAGACCTGTTAGCTCATTTTATTTTATCGCGGGAGCTAAATCGCGCCTAATTCATATTTTTTGTAGTTAATTTCCGAAATGTAACGCAAATAGACTGTTTATTGGAATTATTTAACCTGAAACTAAAGGAAAATTATGTAAATTTAAACACCGAATTTTCAAAATATATTTAGTTTGTTATTAGAAATGAATTTTGTTTTATTTTCTTTAATCTAACGGAAATTATTCTCAACTTACCCTAACCCAATTCTCTCCCTTTTGAGTAAACTATTTATTATGTCAAGTTAATTTTCCGGTAAATTGTGCTCAATTATAACTGATTTATTGCTATTTAGTCTATTTTGTGATTGAACATTTATTTTGCCTCGCTTCTGTTCTATGTTTTGCGAGCTTTAAATTTGCCTATATTGTTGTTGGTATTACTGTCGTTGGTTCATCGGTGAACCTGGCGCCCAACATTAGCAGTAGTTTTCGATTTTATCACACTGTAAGATGGGTAAAATTTCTCTTTACTAATGTGATAGCTTTCAAGGAAAATAATCTATTTATTACGAATGACCGATCAATGGAAGAGAGACAACATCGTCGACAGCTGGTTCTGAAATTGCGTGAGCTTCAGGCGTTTGGTATAAGAGCGACGATTTTAAATAATGACATAAAAATTTTGGATGATTCAAGAAATACCACGGAATCACAACAGAAGATAATGCAGTCTCAGGATGAACGAAGGCCAGTCGGATAGTCTCCCTGCGCCCAACTCTCAGAAGGCGGACACGCAGTTAAGAAAGAAGCGAGGGCACTTCTCTCTCAGGAATTCTCCAAGAGGGGATGACTCACTCAAGAATTTAAACACCCTTGATAAATTTTTTACCTCTAATACTCCCAAATCAGGAAATGTTCATCCAGGTTCCAAGAATGATCTTTCTTATAAGAAGATAAAGTGGGACGAGAGGAAGGAATAGCAACGATCTGAAAACCCTAAGAATTCAGCCCATCTTCAGAAATTTAAATACAGGAAGTGCAATACGATTTTATTTTGGAACATTCACGGAATTAAGAATTTACCGGACATTCAGAATATTTCTGACCCTGAGATATACTTTGTATATGTGAAACCTGGAATGAACGAGATTGGATTCCTGGTCTGAACAAGAATTTCTTAGATTTCATTCAAGCTCCAGCTTCAAGAATCTACAACCATGGCAGAGCAAAGGGATGTCTCCTTATTATTTTAAACCCTAAAATTTATTCTATGTCGATAGTTTTTATTTCTTGTTTTCAAATTTTTGTCAAAGTTAATTTGCTTTCAAATGATTTTACGTTTATTCTGGGATTGGTTTATTTTGCTCCAAATGAGAACTTCGATGAGCTTCTGGATAGTGTCAACTTAAATATAAATAATCTTTGTAAATTTTCCGAGTTACCTTGTTATTGTGGGAGGGGACTTTAACGGTAGAGTGGGTGAGTTGAACCAGTTAAACCCTAACTTTTTTCAATTTATAGATACAGTTTTTCCAGATAGGTCTTCTTTTGATAAAATTTCTAATACTAAGGGAAAGAAAATTATTAATAATCTTGAAACTAATGATTTGGTTCTTTTAAATGGTCGTTGTAATAATGATTCACCAGCTAATTTTACGTATATGAGTCCAACTGGCTCAAGTGTGATTGACTTGGTGTGGTGTTCTTCTGGTGCTCTCCCTATTATTAGTGATTTAAAGGTTTTACATCTGGTCACATCATCTGACCATTTTCCAGTTTCTGTTTGCCTCTCATTTCAATCTCATATAAATAATAATTTAGAATCCAATAGATTACATTTTAATACAAAAAATGCTGAGTTATATTTTTCGACAATGGCATGGAAAGATGAGGTGGCTGATGTTCACCTTCATTTGGACAATATGAATTCAACAATTGTATCTACAATACAATTAAAACGTTTAGTTCCGGAGCTAGACGATTCAATATCATTTGAGGAAATTATTAAGGGTTTAGCTAAATGTAAGAATGGGAAAACCCCTGGTTTGGACGGTGTTGACTACAGTTTTTTTAAGAATTTACCTCAGAATTAGATTTTATATGTGACGCGACCCGAAGAAAGGTACCTAAGAAGGAAAAAATCGATTTTCGTATTCAGATTGTTTTCGATAAACTAAGGATTGCTTTTCAATAATCTGAAGTCAAAATTCATTTTTATCAAATACTTTTCTTGTAATAACGATTTAAAGATGAACAATTTGTGCTAAGCGTTGATTCTCTTTCTCCTCACGCACACATATCTACGCTCCCCTCTCACTGTATACATGCGTCACTTGAAGTTCGGGTCGATATTCGGGAATTAGAGAGAGATGCACTGACTACACCGTTCTATCTCACGACGAAAACACGTGTACGAGTTACCGGCAACAACTTGCACTGATACAAGGCGGATAATTTACTTTTTCAATATATTATAGTGTTGCAAATAAATAAAATGATTAATTAAATGGAAAAATATTAAGCACAATTATGAATCTCGATCAAGAATATGCGGACATTGTTGATTGCCATAATAGATTAAATAATCATTATGTTTCAGAAGAACAAGAAGAAGACACTTCTAAGGTAAATATTATGTGCACACAAATAAAACAATAATATAATATCAAGATGTTCAATGTTTTTTTATAAGTAATCCATATATTTATTTAAGCGCGAAGCTTTTCGTCCATACACGATGGACCTCATCAGGCGTTTCAGTCACTGCAAATTATATCATTGTCAATATTCAGAAAATACATAAAAACCCTCATAAAATACATAAAAGACAAAAATGAAAAATTTTTAAAATATTTAAACATATACAACATTAAAACAAAAAAACTTCCCATTCATTTCTCCATTACATAACCTCAAACTTACATTTGTGGATTACTTCCTTCACACAATTATTTTACATATCACAAAGAACAAAAAATTATTGTGATATTTTGTTTAGAGATGAGCGTTTGAATTTTCAAACTTAGGGCCATGGCCGTACGTTGTAAAAAGCAAACATAAGTATACACCATGTGCCCTTTATGATAAATGAACATTGATAGAAAAAGGAAATGCTTCAAAATATAAACGGAATCTAAGTTATCTACATGAATCAGAAAGATGGAAATCTACCTTATCATACATAGTGTGAGTATGCAAAAAGCGCGCAATTTTTTTAAAAATTCCAAAACACTATGTGTTCATGATCAGAGAGTGATAGATCTTGTTAAGCGATGTTAAATAAAAAAAATATATTAATATATTTTTTCAGTTTTTCAATATTACAGTAAAAAAAGTATAGTACTTTCCGTCCTGGGAAAACAACGACTTTTAAGCCATTTATAACCTGTCGCCACGCCGGTTCATTTATTGAAAATTAGAGACTTAGAATTGGGGAAAACAATTCTGGTGACGAGAAATTATAAAGGCGATCTTTATTATTTATTTTGAGCGCCTGGCTGCTCCTCTAATATAATAAGAAAATACAAGCCATATTTAGAATTTAGATTAGAATATTTATAATAGATAATTTTGCCGACTAGGTGTAGGAACGAGTAGTGACTTTTGTTAAATAAATAAACACTTGTTTACACACATAACTCACATTTATTCTAAATAATTAAAACTTAAAAGAAACATTTATCATTTGAAAGAAACAGACTTGCTAAGAGTCGGAGAGCGAGCAAATTTTAACAAGAAAACAAAAGTAGATTTACTATTATGGCGAATTAATAATCCAACTTACCATTATTCCACAATTGACTTATTTCTTTTCCTTTTATTTCAATTTATGATTTTGGCAAATCGAGTTTTATAATTTTGTATGACAATTAAATATAATATCCAAAATTCTCCTTGGTAAATAAATATAATATCCACCCACCGTGACGTTCAAAACGTGAAGGACGAGCGCCACTCGGCTGCTTGTACTTTTCGCCTATTAGACGCGGATCTTACTCAACGGCCACCCTGTCGATAAATGTAGATTAATACATCTACAAGTAGCGATTAATGGGTTGCAGCCTTGTAGGCGCGACTTAATATTAATCTTAATATTAAATTAAGGAAAACAGCTAATCTTGGACTAGTGACATTAATTATCACGTAATGAGCCTGGAGCAGTGCAATAACATATTAAAATAATTTTGTAAACATAAATAATTAAACAAAATTCTGTTTAATGATAATAGTTCTTATACAAGAACTTTTGGCTGCATTAATTGATATTCGTCCTCAAGACTGCTCCCTGAACTCTGCTCGCTCCTTCTGAGAGTCCTCTTTAGTTTCGTTGCGCTATTTTGGTCGCATCTAATAGGCTTAAACAAAAATAAAAACAATGCGGCAGAAATTATTCTTAATTGATATTATTTCTCGGATGTGCTCTTGAACTATTTGACAGGTCAAAATTAATTAATTTTACATTATGTGCATATTCTGTATTTACATATATAGTAATAACCCTTTTCTCAACTTAACAATTTTATAAATAATATAAAAGGGGCTTCACGCCCACGTCACGGTCGAGGAATTTGCGATGTAAAATGTACAACGTTACACTTTATATTATTATGATTATTTTCTAATTATTTTTATTTGATTTCTTAGTGAAGTTTATTTGTCTGTTTTTGTTTTAGTCTTCTGTATCTTACTTTCTTTTTAAGCTTACTTATTTAACTTTATATTTTTATTTTGCTACACTTGTTTTTATTTTTCTGTATTATTTTTAATTTCTTTTTAAGGGTATGTGGAATCAGCCAACTTCAATTAATACATGTATTAATATTGCCACCGGTTTTCTAAAAAAATATTTAATAAATCTTGACAAAATATAAGAAAAATAATATTTTATTTATTGAGGCATGGATCTTTAATCCAATTAATACAAAAATTTGCTTTTAAATATTATTTTTCATTTAATAAAAAGTTTGATATTTTTTGAGAAAAAAAGACAATCAAATACAAATTAATATTGAAAAAAATGAATAAATTTATATTTTTATATTCAAACTTTCATTTTTTTTGACAATTTTCGAGAAAAAAAGACAATCGAATACAAATTGCCATTGAAAAAAATTAATGTTGACATAGAAAAATATAAATTTATTCATTTTTTTCAATATTAATTTGTATTTGATTGTCTTTTTTTCTCAAAAAATATCAAACTTTTTATTAAATGAAAAATAATATTTAAAAGCAAATTTTTGTATTAATTGGACTAGAGATCCATGCCTCAATAAATAAAATATTATTTTTCTTATATTTTGTCAAGATTTATTAAATATTTTCTTAGAAAACCGGTGAGAATATTAATACATGTATTAATTGAAGTTGGCTGATTCCACATACCCTTAAGCATAATTATTTAATTTTGTCTTTTTATTTTGCCACGCTTGTTTTTAGTTTTCTGTATTTTAATTTCTTTTTAAGCCTAATTATTTAATTTTGTCTTTTTATTTTGCTACGCTTGTTTTTATTTTTCTGTATTATTTTTAATTTCTTTTTAAGCATAATTATTTAATTTTGTCTTTTTATTTTTAGTTCTCTGTATTTTAATTTTTTTAGCATAATTATTTAATTTAGTCTTTTTATTTTTAGTTCTCTGTATTTTAATTTCTTTTTTAGCATAATTATTTAATTTTGTCTTTTTATTTTGCCACGCTTGTTTTTAGTTCTCTGCGTATTTTAATTTCTTTTTTATCATAATTATTTAATTTTGTCTTTTTATTTTGCTACGCTTGTTTTTATTTTTCTGTATTATTTTTAATTTCTTTTTAAGCATAATTATTTAATTTTGTCTTTTAATTTTGCCACGCTTGTTTTTAGTTCTCTGTATTTTAATTTCTTTTTAAGCTTAATCATTTAATTTTGTCTTTTTATTTTGCTACGCTTGTTTTTAGTTTTCTGTATTTTAATTTATTTTCAAGCTTATTTATTTAATTTTATCTTTTTATTTTATTGTACTAATAAATATATATGTACTTAGGTCATTCATGATGAAGACATTAAAAATAGTTTAGAGGACTTAAAAGATTCGGAGAAAATAGAACATTTTTATGGTGAAGCAGCCAAAGATTGCTGCAAAAATGGTTGTAATAAAATAATCCCTAAAGACTTTGCTGTGGATAATCGGTAGTGTATTGTCTTTTAACTTTTTAACCTATAATTAAAAAAAATTTATGATAATTATAATAATTATAATAATATCATAAAACCTAATTATTTCTTACATTTTGACAAAAATAATTTTTTAATTAATGCGTTTATTTCTTTTTATAGATTAAATTTTCTCGAAATGGAAAAGACTGAGCAAGATTTAATTCTTTTGTCTCATTTGCAAGCACACCGTCAAATTGCACAATTTAGAGAAAATTATGGTAAATATACCGTCAAACATAAGTCACAATTCAGAAAGGAATGTAAAAGCAATCGACAAAATATAAGTTACTACATAGCAGATATCCCCATTTGTCGAAAAATGTATTTTTTTTATTTGATGTCGGCTTAAGGAGGCACAAAAATTTACTAACTCACTTTGACCAGAATGGAATCAACCCTCGGGTTCATAAGTTATCTAGAAAAACACCATCGAGGTCCAGTGTTTTATCCATTGATGACATTGATAGAGCTGTACAGTATATTGAGGCTGTAGCGGAAAAAACTGCTATACCATTACCAGGTCGTATGCCTAAATTTCGAGACTTCAATGTCATGAAACTTCCTTCGAGTGAGACGAAAAGTACTATGTACAAACAGTATCAAGAAGATACTGCGAAAGATAGTGATGTGAGAATAATGTCACTCACTTTTTTTAAAAGAGCATGGTCTACTTATTGTCCTTATATTACGACGATGAAACCTGCGGATGATCTGTGCGACAAATGCCGAGAAAATAATTTAGCAATCTCAAGTTCAGCTAACCTACCAGATAAAGAAAAAGTTAATATAATTTCTATTGCAATGGAGCATTTGCAGAAGGCAAAAAAACAGAGAGAATTTTATAATATTAACAGGGCCAACATTAAATTGTTTGATCAAGACCCGAAACAGCAATCGTCACTTCTGGTTCTTTCGTTCGACTATGCTCAAAACGATTCTTACCCTTCAAGTCCTCAACAAGTCGGAAAATTGTACTTTAAAGTACCCAGAAAATGTGGAATTTTTGGAATTCACGACGAGAGCAAAGGTGAGCAAACCAATTTTTTTGATCGACGAAGCAGATAATTCGGGAAAAGGTGCTAATTCTGTCATTAGCATGATTAATTATCATTTAAGTAATCATCTTGCTGAAGAGGTTACTTTATTCTCGGATAATTGTGTCGGTCAAAACAAAAATAATGCCATGATGCACTACCTTTTATGGCGTGTGATGACGGGAAAAAATTAAAAAAATTTCTCTTTATTTCCTTTTGACGGGGCACACAAAATTCAGCCCTGATAGGAATTTTGGAATTTTAAAATCGAAATATTCACGAGCTGATGTTGACTGTCTTCAGGATATGATGGAAGTTGTGAATACCTCATCGTCTCATGGATATAATGTTGCCCTTCCGATAGTCGATCCTTCAACGAACATTCAAAATGTAAAGTGGAAAAAATGGGACGATTTTTTGAAACAATTTTAATTCCATTCCACACATTACGAAGTATCACCATTTTGTCTTTTTACCCAATGGTGAAATTCGAGCGAAAGAATTCGTTGATTCAACAGAAGAAATCGTTCATCCTGAAATTGAGTTAAACAAAAACGCAAGAGAGGTGAAAAACATTCGTTCTAATGGCCTTACGAATGAACGTCAATGGCACTTGTTTGACGAAATACGTCAATTTTGTACAGATGAAAATAAAAAAGATGCAGTTGCCCCTTGTCCGAAATGTCCGAAAAAGAAAAAACAAAAATATTATAATTAGACAAAAAATAAGTAATAAAATTTTGGTCATTGTTTAGCTATTGTGATATTCGTCATAAATATAATTATAAGTTTTGTTATTAATAATAACTAATATTTATGAATAATTATTGTCTATCACCATCTAAAATAGCGTTTCCAAAGATAACTTTAATTGTTATTTTGTGTTTAATTTAAAAAATGTGATTATTAAAATTAGAATCCTCTGTACTTACGTACAAAATATAAAAACAGTAAAAAAATTATATACTATTCCTGAGTGCCGTTAAATGTTTTAGAAAGAACATGAAGATCTTTAAAAAGTTATCAAAAATTGATTTTAATTATGTTTTTTTGAGATTTTAAAAGCATACTTTAGTTTCCGATTGCATATTGAGTTTAATATTATTATTATTATTATTAAAATAATATAATTTAAATATGTATATTATGTACTGTTCCTTGGAGGGCTAATTAGCCCTAGGAACTTTCAAAAGTTAAATAAATAAATAATAAATAAATAATCGACATAATTATTAATAAATTCCTTCCATCACTATAATAAAAAAGTTTTTACTTTTACTTCTGTTTAATTTCTTAATTTTGAGAAGTTAATATTATATAAAAAGTATAAAAAATTTAAGTACATTTTTTTTATTCTATTTTTAATTTACATAGTGTCAATAGAATATACTATCAAACTGTTTCAACTTTTATCTACGTTAAAAAATATAAATAAAGTTTTTTAAAAAAGTACTGCAATTTATGCAATTTTTTATATGTATTGAAATATTTTTTACCATTATATACTTTGTGCAATTTAAAATATTTTTAAATACTTACATACAAAACTTTAAAATATTTTGTTCTGAAATTTGAAATATTTTATAATGTTCTGTAAATTAAAAAAAAAAATTTAAAAACGACGTAGTCAAAGTCGAATTTTCGTAACGCAGCGCCTGACACTTTTATAATAGAGAAAGAATAGAGAATATATTCAGTGCATCTCTTTTTACTTGCCGAAGACGGCCGAATACACAGACGCTAACTCAAATTAGTAGTAGGAAGGAGAGAGAGTAAGAGATATCGGAAACTCTGCGCCGCGTTCTCGCTTGTTCTTTTCCCTCTCCTGTAAAATTAAAGTTTAGCTTTTTAGGTACCTTTCTTCGGGTCGCGTCACATATACGAACAATCTATTTAACAAAATTTTAGAATCTGAAAAGGTTCCAAAAGACTGGGGCAATTTATCCACTTTTATGCTGTTAAAAAAAGGGGACCCTTTTATTCCGGATAATTATAGGCCAATTACCTTAGTCAATTGCATAGCTAAAATTTTCACTCAGATTATTAATGATAGGGCGAAATTCTTAGACCATTTGAGTTTCTTTTGCACATTCCCGATATGGAAGATTATTTTATTAATCAGGACTGTAGGGGAATTTCAATCGATAGCTCAACTGAGATTCTGATGTCGGGGTATGCCGACGATTATGTTTTGCTCTCCGACTCTCCTCTAGAACTCAATAAGAAATTGAAGGAACTCGATGATTATTGCGCATTAAATGGTTTAACTGTTAACACCGAAAAAACTAAAATAGTAATTTTTTCTAAATCAGGGAATTCAAAAGCTAAAAAGTATAAACATTTTAAATTTGGTGAGAGTTGCATCGAGGTTGTCAAGGAGTACGTCTATCTTGGGGTCAAATTTCATAATTCTTGTTCTTTTAATCCAGCTGCAAGGAAAGCAAAAAGTTCAGCAAACTCCGCAGTGGGCACAATCCTGAGAACAATTTATTCTGTTAAGACTGACTTTGAGTATTCTTAGCTATGGTATTCAAGTATGGCGATTGGAATTTTTGGATATGGTTGAAAGTGTTCAGCTTTCTTTTTTTAAGAAACTTTTAAATCTCCCCATATGTACCCCAATTACGCGGTTTGCATTGAAACGGGTTCCTTGTACCTTGCTTATTTAGTTCTTAGGAATATTCTTTCCTGGTTAAACAAAATTCTTTCAATGACAAATTCTCGTTATCCCAGGAGATGTCTAATGAGTTTAATAAAACTAGCTAAGAGTGATCCGAAAAATAAATTCAATTGGATGTCTCAGTTAAAATTAAACTTTCTTGAGCCCTGCGGTTTTTTAGAAGTTTGGGACGATTTGGGACCTGCCTCTTCGAGGGTAGACAGTAACTTTATACTTCAAAAATTTTCTTCTTATTTGAGAAATCGTGATTTTACTTGTCTAAAACTCTCGAAGAGTCTTGAGATTTATCCCTCTCTTCCATTAAATCAAGGTGTTCAGGATTATTTAAAGCTGAGATTATCGCTTTTTTATAAGAAGATTTACGCACAAATCAGACTTTTGAATCATCATGTATTAAGGGTTATTTTTGGCAGAGAAAAGTATACCTTCTACCCTGATGCAACTTGCACCTCCTGTCGATTAGAGGTCGATACATTGTCAAATATTTTAAATTCATGTCCGTCCTGTAGTCATTTACTCGCTCCGTTTATTGATATTAGCAATGGAAATGGTCTGTCTTCGTTTGATCAATGGTTAAATGTCTTGTCTTCAAAAAATGTAAATTTGATTAGGCAATTTATTATTGTTTTTATTAAGATTTTATCTACTCGTCTGCCTCAATTTTTGTAATTTTTGTTGTTTTGTTTTTTCTTTTGCGTAACTCCCTTGCGTTCGCATATATATGTGTTATAAGCAAATGTAATTAAATAAATAAATAATACTCTTTGACTAACCAGCAATGCTTGATTTTGCTTTTATTATGATTCCTTTAGATAGAGAAATTTTTATATTATCGCGAAAAATTTATTACACAAGTTTTAAGAAGGTAAATTTAATTTTTATTGATTTTTCTGATTATTTTGCTAAATCTACTTATTAATCAATTTTTATTCGGTATTTCATTGAAAGTATCTTGTTTTATGCATCCAATTGGACCATAACAATAATTTCAATTCATAAACTATCCAAGAATCACACAGTAGACTGAATCCATTTCAAATCAGGCAGGTTGACTAACTTCATGTTATAGAAAAAAAATTGTTTTGCTTGTAATTTTTTTTCTTTTGAGTATAATTTAATTTTCTTTCTTGGGTCTTGTAGATAATCTTGTTCTCTTCACAATCCAGTTTGATATTTAAAAAAGTATTTAAAATTTGTGGCAGCCTATTTAGGATTTTAATATTGTTAAATTAATAAGACGTGGGTAGGACTTAAACGGGGTGACACAATCAATCAGCCGAATAACTATACACTTACAAGAATATTTCTTTCCTCCTTTTCATTGTCGAGCCAAGTATGTAGAGAGATTTAACAAACTTACTTGTATTTCCTTCTTAATCTGCACTGCAATCTGCGCTGAGTTTTGTAGATGATAATGGAAACAGTAACAAATAATAGCGCAATTTAGAAACACACTTACAATATTTATTAAACTTTGATTTTTCAATTACAAATTGTATAAGCGCAGAGGCTATGTATCAAAACGTGGTTCACACCAATCTGAGGTGCTTCAACCGGCAAAAGCAACATGTGCTTTTGTCGTCTGCTAATTCCGGCGCGTGCGGCGCCTGGTGACAAAATTTGGCGCTAGGGCGCGAATTCAAATAAGCTCTTACTAACTAATATCAAATTAACAATGATAATATGAGCGATTGTAACGATTGATAATACAGGAATGATTATGATCGTTACAATTCCCCCTTTCTAAATCGTTACTAGCGCTCTGAATTAGTCTAGTTTGCTAAACTTCTCCATTCTATGAAATCTTGGCTAGTAAGAAAAACAATTTAGAAGTTTAAAGTTAAAAGAAACATAAAAGAAAGTAATCAATAATTATTAATAATAATATCATTATAAAATTCAAATAAACTATAGAAAAGAAGGAAAAAGAATTTAGAATTATTTTATCACTGATGTCTCACTGCTCATCCTAATAATCAATCGTAAAATAATAGCTGGTATGATTAACTAGATAGTATTAATTTAGACTGAATTAATTATTCACTTAGTTTATTAGAGTATACTTATTTTCAATAAGTCTTAGCGATGAGGTAGACAATTATAAAGGCACTTTGACCTTCCTTTGGTAGGTTAACCTAAAATTATTCTTTGGAATTTTTCCGCGCGATACAATGTAATGTTGTTCGCTGAATACTGTTGGCGTAATAATACCTTGAATTTTAGTTAACAAAAAGAATTTAAGAAAATAGAATATAATTCTAATGCGCAACGGCGCTTGAAATCATAAATGAAATAGTCGTTGAGAAACGAAAGAAAATTTTTTTTTTGTAACTTAGATATTAAATTTAATAAGTAATAAAATAATAAAGGTTTATGCAACGGCATAAAATAATCAAAAATAAAAATAGTTTATGAGGATGGACACGCACTAAAGAGGATCACTTCTTCTCATCTTCTTCGTCTTCTTCTGGAAGAGTGTCGTCCTTATCAACGACGAGGGTATAGGCTTGAGCTAAGCTTTGCCAAAGGGTAGCGTTGGCGACGTCTGAAGCGTGTGGGGACAATTTTTGTAACGCTTCGGCACCGAGGAGCAGGGCTTCTTGAGCACAAGTATTCTGCGTCAGTCCTTCTTCTTCTTGTGGTGAGGGATTGTCATCGTTTTTGCTTGGTTCCCTAGGTAATGCCGGAGGAAGTGAGTGTTTAATCTCCAATTCGATGGCAAGTTGGTTGCGCAGCGCGATGTTTTCTTGTATCATACGTTTGCGACAGTCGTAGCAGTTCGGGTCCGGCATGTTGCGCGGACGTCAGCAGCACTTGCACCGCTTGTGGTCAGGTAGTTGTTTAGGCAATTCTGAATAGTGCGGCCATGGACAGTCATCTGTCGAGAAGTCTGGGTGAGAACAAATTTGGCAGAAGAGACCCGTATATTCCTTTGCGCACGAGCGGTAGCTGTGGCCAGAGACTCCACAGTTGAGGCATCCATCTGGAGCTTTCGGGCGTAGTCTAGGTTCGCGCAGCTCGGTCATGGCGCGGAAAACCTCTTTAATGCTGGATTTTAAGAGATTGTGCAGACGGTAATACTGGTCTTCGATATGATAATAATCTGCTATTAATTCGTTGTAATCCTTCC